GGGTCATATGATAACTCAAATGTTTAGCCTTCTAAAGAATTGCCAACTGTTTTCCAAAGTAGCTGTACCATTTTACATTCCCACCAGCAATATACAAGGGTTCCAATTTCTGTGCATCTTGGCCAACACTTGAAAAGTGGATGTAATTCATAAAAGTATTGGTATAATACCCCAAATTCACCATTTTAAAGTATACAGTTAAGTAGTTTTAGTGTATATTTACAAAATTGTTCAATCATTATTATTCTGTATTCCAGAACATTTTCATCACCCTGAAAGAAATCCTGTACCCATTAGTAGTCACTGCTCACTCTTCTGTATCAACAGCACCTGGCAAGCCACTAATCTATTTTGTGTTTTATGGATTTGCCTATTCTAGACATTTTATGAATGAAATTATACAATATCTGACCTTATGGGTCTGACTTCTTTCACTTAGGATGTTTTCAGGGTTTATATATGTTGTTGCATGTGTGACTAATACTCCATTGTATGGTTATACCACATTTTATTTTTTCATTCATTAGTTGATGGACATTTGATTCCTTTGTGTTTTGTTGCCATTGTGAATAATGTTGTTAATGAACATCCATGAACAAGTTTTTGTATGAATATAGGTTTCCAGTCTCTTGGGTATATACCAAGGGTATATACTATATTGGAATTCTATGTTTAACTTGTGAGAAACTGCCAAACTTTTCCTAAGGACTTGAGCCATTTTACATTCCGACCAGGAAAATATATAGGTTCTGCTTTTTCCAAATTCTCTGAAACACTTGTTATATCTGTCTTTTTGATTATAGCCATCTAGTGGGTTTGAAGTGGTAACTCATTGTGGTTTGGTTTTCGTTTCCCTAATGACTAATGATGTTGAGTATCTGTCAGTGTACTCATTAGCCATTTATGTATCTTATTGGGAAAAATGGCTGTTTAAATCTTTTGCCCATTTTGAAGTTGTGCTCTTTTTTTATTAAGTTAGAAGAGTGCTTTATATTTGTAAATTTAAGTCCTTTATCAGATGCTTAATTTGCAAGTATTTCCCCACATTTTGTGGGTTGTTTTCACTTTCTAAATGGTGGTTTTTTTTTTAATTCCAGTAGAGTTAACATGAAGTGTTCTATTAGTGTCAGGTGTACAATATAATGATTCATTACTTCCACATATTACTCACTGCTCAACAAGATAAGTATACACTTAATCCCTTTCACCTACTTCATTTATCCCACCACCTACCTCCCCTCTGATAACTGTCTGGTGTCTGTAATGAAAGAGTTTTTTGGTTTGTCTCTCTCTTTTTTTTTTTCCTTTGTTCATTTGTTCCACATATGAGTGAAATCATATGGTATTTGTCTTTCTCTGGCTTATTTCATTTAACATTATAGTCTCTAGATCTATCCATGTTGTTACAAATGGCAAGATTTCATTCTTTATTGTTGAATAATATTCCGTCATACATACATATATATATGATTATATATGATATACATATATCCATATGACATATATAGATACATATCACCTCTTCTTTATCCATTAAAGCACAAATGTTTTTCATTTTGATGAAATCCAGTTTATCAGTTCATTTGTTTATCACTTGTATTAGTTTCCTATGGCTGCTAAAAAAAAAAAAACAAATGTGGTATCTTAGAACAACACAGACTTATTATTTTTATTATTTATTATCTCGCAGTTCTGTAGTTCAGAAATCCAAAATGGGTTTTGTGATAGCCTAAATGGGCTGAAGTTAAAGTGTTGGCAGGCCTGTGTTTTTTCAGGAGGTTCTAGGGGAAGCCTTTTAAAATAGCTTCTAGGGGTGCTTGGGTGGTTCAGTGGGTTAAAGCCTCCACCTTCAGCTCAGGTCATGGTCCCAGGGTCCTGGGATCTAGCCCCGCATAAGGCTCTCTGCCTGCATCTTTGCCTACTCGTGATCTCTGTCAAATGAATAAATAAAATCTTTAAAATAGCTTCTCGAGGCTGCCTATATTCCTTGGCTTATGGCCCTTTTCCACTTTTAAAGACCTTTGCTATTACCTTGGCCCAACCTGAATAATCCAAGATAATCTCTTTATTTTAAGATCAGCTGATTAGCAATCTTAGTTCCATCTATGTAAGATAACATAGTCACAGATAATAAGGGATTAGAATTTTTCTGCCTATCACGTTGCTTATGCTTTTGTGTTATATCTGAGAAATCATTGCCGAAGACAAGGCCACAAAAATTTCCCTCCACATTTCCTACTAAAGTTTTATAGTGTTCACTATTATATTTAGGTCTGTGATCCATTTTTCCTTTTCACTTACAGTATATAATAATGATCCACTTGCCTTCTTTGGCATGTGGATATCTGCTTATCTCAATACCATTTGTTGAAAAATGCTGTTTAAGTCTAAAATCAAGAAGTATCATCCTTCTGGTCCTTTTTTCAAGATTACTTTGGCTTTGGGAAAGCCAAAAGAGCCTTTCTCAGTCAGAAGAGCATGTGGCTCTTGGTCGTGGGGTCATGAGTTCGAACCCACATTGGATATAGAGATTACTTAAATAAATAAACTTAAAAAAATTGACTTTTCTGAGACTTTTTCATGTCCATGTTTTAGGATCAGTTTCTCAGTATTCTCAAAGAAGTGGGGAAAAGTCAGCAGGGATTTTTTTTTTTTTTTTTTTTTAAATAGGGATTGCAGGGTTTCCATTGAATCTGTGTATTATGGATTTTTATTGTCTTAGCATGGATATTCTCATCTATAAGCTTGGGGTGTCTTCCTTTTTTTTTTAAGATTTTATTTATTTATTTGATAGAAGGGATCACAAGTAGGCAGAGAGGCAGGCAGAGAGGCAGGCAGAGAGGCAGGCAGAGGTGGGAGGGGAAGTAGGCTCCCTGCTGAGCAGAGAGCCTGATGGGGGGGCTCTATCCCAGGACCCTGAGATCATGACCTGGGCCGAAGGCAGAGGCTTAACCCACTGAGACACCCAGGCACCCCATGGGGGTGTCTTTCTTAAGTATTTTATTCTTTTGGGTGTTATTAGAAATCAAATTTTTTTTAAAAATTTGCCTTAGGATTGTTCATTGCTAGTGTATAAAAATTTGAATTTTATGTGCTGATCTTGTGTTCTGCGGCTTTAAAAAAAAAAAAAGATTTTATTGATTTATTTGGCAGAGATCACGAGTAGGCAGAGAGGCAGGCAGAGAGAGAGCAGGAAGCAGGGTCCCTTCTGAGCAGAGAGCCCGATGCCAGGCTTGATCCCAGGACTCTGGGGTCATAACCTGAGCCGATGGCAGAGGCTTTAACCCACTTGAGCCACCCAGGCACCCCAGTGTTCTTCAGCTTTGATAAACTTATTTCTTAGGTCTGTTTATCTTTTAGTAGGTTCCTTAGTTTTTTAATATTTAAAATAGAAATAGTTTTACTTCTTTCTTTCCAATCTGGATGCCTTTGGTTTCATGAAGTTTTTATGAGAAATCACCGGTCATTCAAATCACTGTCCCCCATATGTAAAATATTGTTTTTCTCTGGCTGCTTTTAATATTTTCTTTTCATTTTTGATCTTTAGCAATTTGATTATGTGCCTAAATTTCTGTTCTCGTTATCTTTATTGGTGTTCTTTGAGCCTCTTGAATTTGTATCTGTCTCATCTCTTGTCTTACCTATTGTTGACTCTGATTTCACATATGTCAGATCATTTGCTATTGTTCTGTCTGTTCATGAGGCTCTTTTAATTTTTTTTTCAATCTTTTTTTCTCTCTGTTCTTGAGTTAGGATAATTTCTATTAATCTCTCTTGAAAGTCACTGACTCCTTCCTCAGTTACTTCCATTTTGTTTTTAAACTGTTTCGAGAATTTTAAATTTCAGATAACTTTCTCTTTTAGTTTCCATTAGTATTTTTGTAGTCTATTTTTACGCTAAGGTTTTCTTCTTTCATTGTGTGCATATATTCCTTTACTGAGCATAGTTTTAGTAGTTTTTTAATTTTATTTTGTTTTTAAAGATTTTATTTATTTCACAGAGAGAGGGAGGAAGGAAGAGAGAGAGAGAGAGAGAGAGAAAGTAGGAGAGGAAGAAGGAGGCTCTCTATCAATCAGGGAGCCAGACACAGGACTGGATCCCAGGACCCCAGGATCATAACCCAAGCTGAAGGCAGATGCTTAATCACTGAGCCACCCAGGCACCCCTTAGTAGTTATTTTAAAATCTTAGTTTACTAAGCACAGTTTTAGTAGTTGTTTTATTTATTTTGTTACTTATTTATTTTTAAAGATTTTATTTATTTATTTATTTGACAGAGAGAGAGAGATCACAAGTAGGCAGAGAGGCAGGCAGAGAGAGGGAGAACCAGGCTCCTTGCTGATCAGAGAGCCCGATGCAGGGCTCGATCCCAGGACCCTGAGATCATGACCTGGGCTAAAGGCAGAGGCTTAACCCACTGAGACACCCAGGCGCCCCTAGTAGTTATTTTAAAAACTTGTCTGCTAATTCCAACATCTAGATTATCTTCGAGTTGGTCCCTATTGATTGTGTTTAGTCTTGACACTGAGTCACATTTTATTGGTTCTTGTGTATCAAGTAGTTTGGACTGTATGGTGGACAAATATGTGTTATGCTGTGGAGATGGGATTCTGTTCTATTTTTTCAAACAGTGTTGTGTTTTTTCATAAACTTTTTCTTGAATTCAGTCTGCAAACTCTCATACAATAGCTCAAATTTCATTTCAGGTTGATTTTGTTTGTTTGTTTGTTTATTTGTTTGGGGTTTTTTCGTCTTTAGCTGGACTGGTTTCAGTCTACCCTGTGTGTGCATTGTTCAGGAGTTAGCCAGAGATTTAGGCAGAGAAACTTGAGTTGTTTTAAGGTAGCTTAGTTGATTTGAGCATTTCTACCTTAGTTTATTGTTTTAGTAGAATTTAGAATCATAGTTTTATAAGCTGAAAATAATCATAGGTAAATGATTTCCAATGTTTTATCTTGACAATTAAAAGTAAGTTTTTGTTATTTTTCTCATTATTACAGATCGAGCTGGAAGCATCAGTACTCTTGATTCTTTAGACTTTGCAAGATACTCAGATGACGGTAACAGGGAAGCAGATGAGAGAGTGGCAGGTGAGTAACATTGTAAAGACAGATTTGGATTCTTTGACATTCAAGAAATAATAAAGTGACTTGAGGAATTTCTTCCTTCTACGATTTGGTATGTGAATATAATTATGTAGTTACTACACAAAATTATGTTACTAATTTATTGGCTACAGGGAACATCTGAACCCTCAGCTTCTTCTTATAGTTGTGCTGTGAGTTTCTGGTTATGCATACCTAAAATTTGCTGAGTTCTGCTTGTGACCAACAGTTTACAACCATGTAGTTCTCTAACTGGTGTAAAGCAGGTTTAAATTAGCTAGAGTTCAGTACAAAGTTAGTTGGACCTTGTCTTCCTCGCTCCTTTGATCTTCCAAACTAGGGCTGATATTTAGGTGTTGTATATCAACACAACTCTACTGATTGTAAAAATGGGTTGAAATACTTCTGTGTTGGCTGGTGAATAAAGCTTTGTCTTGAGATGTCTGGGTGCTCCCTAGCCATTACAGCATCTCTCTAAAAATTTCCCTTAACTTTCCTGTAAGCCAAAAATAAAGGGTTAATACTTGGTATAACAGGGGCCTCCAGGACCTCGTTTATTCCAATAAGAAGACCAACATTCTTTCTAAATGCTTGGTTACTCATACCAATCTCCTTCTCTCCTCGCCTTTCTACCTTCCCACCTGCTCTGCCTACATCTAATGAAGCCACATAGATTCTGGTCGGGGTACACCCTGGAAATTATCAGGGTAGCAGCCCTGGCTCCTTTAGTGTCAAATGTTTGGTACCTGTGAGGTGCTTCAAAGCTGTGGCTCTCTGTCATTGAAGACATTCTTGAGTGCTTTGCAGGAATTGTAGTTTTCATAGGATATTGGCTCTTAGATGGGGAAAGCAGACAGACATCAGTTAGGTAGTTTGATCTCCACAAGAATGGTGGCATTCCTGGAGGAGGAAGGATGCCACATGGGACAGATGGGACCCATGGGGGCAATATGATTATCAGGAAGTACCCATAATGTGGATTACTTTCTTGACCATGAATTTTTCTTCCATTTACTGGAACAAGTTTGTTACAGTCTACCAAATGTTTTCCTGTCGTGGTCATTATGAATAAAAGTGAGTACTAATTTTTGTGTAGCACTTGCTCTATTCTAATCACCGTTCTAAATGTGTATTAAATCATTGACTTAAAGAGTTGTCATCATCCTCTCCACCCCAGGAGACTGAAACACTCAGAAGGATTATTTAAGGCTTTAGTGGCAAGGCTAGAATTTAGATTCAAATTCAGATAGCCCAGCAACAGAGTCCGCAACTGACTATGCCATATAGTATGTCACAGCAGGAAGGATGAGGTTTAACCGGGTTAAAAATGACATTTCAATATATGACTTTCACTCATTATCCAAGAATAGAAATATTAGAATAATTTTAAATCTCAGTTGGGTGCTTGCTTCAGCAGCACATATAATAAATCTCAGATGGTATTTTATTAGTTAGGAAAAAAATAATGTAACTGTTTCAGCAGAAGAGAGGATTCAATAGTGTAAATAGTAGTGGTGTCAGTTGAATGGGAAATCATTGGAAGAGTTTAATGTGGCTCCCAATATTAAATCATGATTTAGTCAGAAGCATTATTTACTGACTTATATCAAAACAGTAAATCACATCAGTTTTATCTAAAAATTAACAAATCAAATGGAAATCATTTGTATAACTTTAGGACTAATTTATCCTACTTATTTTATCCTTTGTTAAGTCACATTATGTTATATAATTTTGTCATATATGTTAGATATAAGATATTTTATGTTATATGTTAAATATTAAATACACGGTAGTTTCTTAGACTAACCAAATATATCTGGTTTTGTATATTTGTATTACTGTTCAAATGGTTATATAATTAGCAAGTAAGTTCTACCCAAAAATAGATCACATAATTATTTTTTCCTTTAATTTCCATTTGAAAACCTAAATTTTAAGATTTAGTCAGATTTAAGAGGTTCATTATTCTTGTTATTTAGGTGTTTTAGTGTTTCTAATTAGGGGAAACATTATTGATGTAAAAGCAAGATGTTATAACCAAGCATAACTAAGAATGAAATGTTATAAATACATGGTGGTTTTAACCTTGTATTTGTAATCTAAAGCTTATACTCTATCTCTAGGTTTGGGGAGCTAAAGTAATTTTTGATTATTATACAGTGCTATATATAAATAAACCTTTTATCTTAATTGGAAAAGGGAAGGAAAACATATGTTACTATAAGAGAATTACTTTCAGACTTGTAGCATTCTTTATGATAAGCTGTAATTGAATCAAATGTGTGATATATGAATGAAACTTTCTAAAAAGATTTGTGGCTCTTCACTAACCATTGGTAGTAACTTAAAAGCTTATCTAAAGAACCAGTAATCCAGAAAAGATCCTGTCATCTGTGATTGGATCGCATGTAAACCTCACTAGGAAAGAACAGAAATTTCTTTTTTTTTAATTATTATTATTTTTATTAACATATAATGTATTATTTGCCCAAGGGGTACAGGTCTGTAAATCGTCAGGCTTACACACTTCATAGTACTCACCGTATCACATACCCTCCCCAATGTCCATAACCCAACCACCCCTAGAAATTTCTTTATTAAATCTTTCTTTACCTGTCTTGGGCAGAGGGAGATTATAGATAAGACAGGTATTGATTGAGTCCATTGTCCCACCATGTAAATGTAGGGTCTGGTCCAACCTTTATTCAGGGGCTGCTGTTTAAGATACTATATGTTTTTTTTTTCAGCATCATTCTTACCATCTTTTTCCTAAATTAAAAATCAGCTTCTTTTATCAATTCTACATAAGTTTTCCTTCAAAGAGGAAGACATCTCTGAATGAACTAATGTTTATTGAGCATCTGCTCTGTGTCAGGCACTATGGTGGGGTGGTTTGTATACAATATTTTATTTTTTATTCTTGTTCACAGTTCTGAAGAATAGGTCATGATATCCTTATTTTATAGATCAGGACACTGAGGCTCACCACGATTGACCAATTTGCCCGGTAGCCTCCAAATGATAAGGGATTAGTATGTGGACACATAAGTTCTTATTTCATAGTCTACAATATATCTTTTAGTACCAGGCCATGGTTTCCACCCATCTGTACATTCCTGTGGGTGGATAGCCAAATTATGTCTTTCCCATACAAGACTATTTCAGCATAGCCATTTTCTTTTAAAAGAAGTAAATTTTTAAAAAGTTTTTCAGTTTAAGTATTTTCTGTTTCTAAATTTAGAAGTGTATATTTTCACATAAAAATTATTTAAAAAGTGGTAGACACCCGACCAAACTGAGCCTAACCTAACTGAGCTTTCTGTATGTTATTAAAGAAATCTAGTGTTACTTTGTGTGTACAGTGCACCTCTTAAATTTTCAAGTTTTCTTAAAGATAGCAAGGGACATGCACATTCTAAATATTGGGATTGCCATTTGAAAATTTATTTTAGACATTCCGAGCATCTGCTATGTGTTAGGTACTAGATATAGAAACATGAAATAAAGTTTCCACTCTCAAGGAATTTGTCCTGAAAAATGTCTATATCTGTAATATAAATAAATGTTCAGTACTTTAGAAATGGTGGTAAGGGCCTTGTTAAGTTTGGGACCACCTATAACCCTGTCTCCGTTTCATATGATCTGTCTTTTAACATCAGAGTCTCTGAATATCCATTTACTCAACTAATATTTGTTGAGTGCTTATTGAATACTCAAGGTATTAAGCTGTTCTGTTAATAATAATGAACCAAATAGACATTTGAAACCTCTGTAAACCTTACATAATCTAGTAGACATTCTAAAATGACTTTCAGGTTTGTGCCTGGGAATAACCTGGCCTATTTGCTGATTTAGAAGCAGCATCAATAGTCCTCTGATCTGTCAGCTATTGGCCTGCAATATACATATACAGATTTACCAGATTAAAGAAACCTATTTGTTTCCTGATGTATTTCTCCCCTAGTACAGATATTTATACTTCCTATTAATAGTACTTTTTGTTTTTCTTATTTTGAGCCTTACTTAAGTCTTCATGATTTTAATGAAGTAGATGCTCAAGCAAGGCTTTAAAGGTAACAAGCTTTTAATGTGACTGAAGGGTGTTACAGTTTATGTGATAAGTCATAAAGGTCTGAACTAGGAAAATTGCAGAGACAGTTGAGATGAATGGTTTTTTAGGAGGGGGTTACTCAAGGGTTGGAATTAATATGGCTTGGATATTTGATTAATGTGGACTGAATAAGCACAAGGGATAAGTGAAGAGTAATTCCAGGTTTCCTGTTTGGGTATCTGCATTGATAGTGGTGCCATTAATGGAGAGAGGCTGCAGGCGGAAGAAGGAGAACAAATATGAGAGGAAGATGATGAAATTCATATGGATAGATCAAATTCAAAACTTATGAGACATTCAGATGGGCGTGTCCTAGATATAATTAGATAGGTCTGTATCTTCAGGAAAAGGTTTAACGATTTTTGAATCTTCAGCGTACTTGTCAAAGTTAAAACCATAAGACTGGATATCATCCCGTTGGGATATGTAGGGTAAGAAATGGGCAAAGATGGTACTCTGAAAAACACCAGCTTTGAGATGAGTGATAGAGGAATCTGTAAGATTCGGGGAAGAGGATTTTTCCCCGGATGAAGATGAATATAGAAAACTAAATATCTGTAAGCTACAAAGATTGCTTCTTGCTTCCATTCATTTATTTTTCACTATCTACTAAGAGGCCTAACAGTACTATTCCTTTCTGAAGTCTCTAAGAGGCAAGAATTCTCTAAACCCAGGAAGGGAGGTAATGGTACTCTCTTAGGATTGTTGTATCATTTTTAGGAATAGATTTCTATTCAAACTCGAGATCTTAAAATAATTTTCCTATTTCTTAGAACCATTCCTGGGATTATAAAATAAATATTTTAAAGTGGGGAAGTGGTATTTTATTATGAAGTCAAATCACTTTATAGTAAAAAAAAAAAAAAAAGAAAGAAAGAAAAATCCGGGAAATTCTGACTGGAAAGAAGATGGTTTCATGTCTACTATGGGAAGGACCTTGACTCAGCCTTGTTGATTTGAACTCTTCAGCAGTGAACAGGATTGGGAATGAGAAAGTACTTGACTCTTGTCATGTCCGAGTCATGGAAAAATTTTTCCAAAATAACGTTTTGAGTTTCATGCCAAGATGATCAAAGACTAGCAAATATTTCAAGATAATATAGTGATATATTGATTGGGGCACACGGAATTGCTATTTTTTTTTTTTCTGCTTTAAAATTTAACATTTTACCTTTCATGTAAAGTCATGAGAACATGATCTTTAAACACTCAGGTACCTCTAACAGAATACTAGTTTTCCACCCACTGTTGGAAGATAGTAATTTCAACTAATCTAGAGATGCTTATACTGAAATTCATTAATTATTTTGGTAAGACTATAATATGTAATATTAGAATATACCTACATCTTTGCAGTTATTAGTTTAATTCCAATAAAATTGCTGTCAATAGGGTTAGACTAGTAGTAGAGGATTGAGATAGTGGAGTGAGCAGGTAGGTAGTTGGTTCCTACAGTTTTTTGTTGTTGTTGTTTTTTGTTTTTTACATTTTATTTTGTTTTTAAACATTTTTATGAGAATTAAAATATTTGAAAAATACTTGGAGATTGTTTGGTACAATGCATCTCTTTATAGGATAATTAATTTTGAGCTTTAATACAATATTTTTAATAAAGAAGAGACAAATTCATATATATGTGAATATAGCTGTTCAGACCTTTCTTGTGAAACTTTCTCATGTAATTGTAATTACTTGATCATACTGTGCCTTTATAGAGATATGCTTATAGCTTCAACGATATGCCTTTGTCTTTTACAGTCTATATTGTATTTTAAGAAACATGCAGCAGAGTGAATTCATTTTGATAAGCACTATCTTTTCAAAGCGTTAGTAATTTTTAGTGACATTTGGCAATGTATTTGTAGATGTGCATAAAAATATAAATTCTTGCCGTCTGACATGGGTTTTTCTGGCTTTCTGTGCCTTGATCATTCAGTGTTTTGCTCTTAGTCACCTAAACTTTTCACCAATTGAATTTGAGTTTTTCACAGTTTGTGTTTTAACCCTTTTTTTTTTAATTTATTTTTTTCATATTTCTATCATTCTGGTGCAGGCATTTCTGATCTGCAATTGTTCTGTAATATGTCTTAGTAAATTGTAAGTGATACTGAAAGCATAATACATATACTGATTTTACCTAAGGTACCGTTAAATATTTTTAGATCAAATCAATTACTTAGAACTTTGAAATTAAAAAAAGAAAGTAAGCCTATTTTTTACTTACACACTGAATGTGTACAAGTCTGACTTTAAAGACAAACTCTGTTTCCAGAAGTGTTTTAGGGAAAATGTTTAACTTTGTTGCACAGAAATGTTTGCAGATCAGCATTGCTAACTACCAAAAAAGAACTAGTAACATACATGTCTTCTAACTTTTCGTTGTGCCTTCATGTTGCTGCAGTGAGCTTCTGTGCATCAAAATAATTGGCCTTCATGTACTAGATGTGATTCAGTTACATCTTAAGGTTTTAATGGAAATGTGCAAACTGAGTGAATCCTAATTTTTCCATATATTTTTATAACTTTGTTGCCTCCGATAGTATCTCATTTGCCATCTTCTTTTTTCTGTTTATTAGTCAATCAGGAAAAAAAATTGCCATCTTTAAACTTTTTAATTTGCTAGTTTTTATGCAGAACTATTTAAATACCATAATTTTGTTTAATATCCAGTTGTGACAAAGATTACTTTATTTTCCCAGAGCTTTACTTCATGGAAATGGCCTTTTTCCCCACAGCTAAGCTTGCTTTTTCTTCAGAACAATATTTATTATGTATTTTAAAGAAAGTTGCCAGTTAAGACACATTTAGTTAAATCTTGCTGGCAATGAAACATTTTAAAGAGCTTTTAAAAATGTTTCCTCAGTATTCATGTTTATCTTATCAGTAACAAGAGAAGTCTTTGAGTTTCACTAGTTAGTGTCTCTTAACACGAAGAGACACCTATTTGGAGAGTTACCAGAAACTTTGAAGTCCTATTTAATTTTACATAGCATCCTTAGGTACTATACTTTTAGAATTGTACACATATACTTTAGGATGGTCTTAAATAGAAATGAAAAAAACAAACTGTTTCAACCCTTTAGCTCTAAAACCATAGGAACATTTTTAAAGATATGTATTTAACATATCTATGCTTATTTGTAGATAGCATAACTTTGTAGAAAAACTTTAGCCATCCCAACATTTATTAAATATTTAAGCCATGTTCCTTCAACATCTTAATGAAGGGATATAGTCACTAATGTTTCTGTATATTGATATATAACATTATTCTAGATAATGCTTTTAAAGATGCCTTTTTCTTTTTTAATACTAAGGACTTCTTTAGGTATATTTGCTTGGACTTGGTCTAAATTTTTGTCTTTTCCCCTAAAATTATTTCACCTGAAAATATTCCATTGCATTTTCTTACCTACACTGAGTGAAGTACAAGCACCCAGATTACCAGTATTTTTATTTACCTAAATGAGAGTATGCCATAGGTTTTATTTTTAAATAGAGCTATTCCCTGTCAGACAGCTAGAACGTTTGATAAGCAGTCCCCTGAATTCAAAAACTATGGAAAACATTCACCAGTTTGCTTGCAAACCAACTCTGCTGCATGCGTTCACAAATTTCATAAAGATTGCATGCTTTCTGTTTTCAATACAAATTGTATTTTTTTTTCATACCCATCCTTGCTTTTTATTTTTTAATTTTGTTTCCCTTTTCTTGGTTGGATGCCTGTGTGTGTTTATTCCAAATCCCTGTCCAGTCCTGGAGTTTGAACTACGGAAAGCCAAGGAGACCATTCAGGCCCTCCGAGCCAACCTGACAAAGGCTGCAGGTGGTGTACATAAAACTTTTTTGAGACTTTTTCTACTTTGACAATGTAGAAGTAGCTGAGATATTTTCAGATGTAAAATAGTAAAGTGTTATTTATATTTTCTTCCACCAGAACACGAAGTTCCTTTACAGGAACGAAAAAATTACAAATCCAGTCCTGAAATTCAGGTGGGTGAATGACAGACCTAAAAGTATCTTCCACATAAAATGGTAGTGCAAGTATTGAAGAAAGGAAACTTATAATATTGTATCTTCTTTTTGCCTGTAGGAACCAATCAAACCTCTTGAAAAGAGAGCTCTAAACTTCTTAGTCAATGAATTTTTATTGAAGAATAACTACAAGCTTACATCAATAACCTTTTCAGATGAAAATGATGATCAGGTACAATTGTTTTTGTTTTTTTTTTTTTTTACAGTGATTTGTTTCCTTATTAACTTATAGTGTATTTATTTTCTCTTTCATCTAGTTTCTTTAATTTTTTAAGTCATACATACGGTAAAATTCTATAACGCTAGTTACCAGACACTTCTCTGCCCACACAGTCTGGTATTTTTTGGCTATGCTCCCATTGCCACACTCAACTATGTCGCTGTCTTACTTCCGCTACATCTGTATCTCTGCCTTCTGAATCTCCCCATTCTCATGTCAGTCATCTCTCCTACCTACTGCTTTAACTCCTTCCTTATCAATTCTGAATTTATAAGCACTCTCAACTTTGTTTTTAGCTTATCCTCTACCTGCCTCTCCAGTGTTATCTTTTGCTTATTCATTATAATCTTGCCAAACAGAAGGGCTCGCATCCCCTCAACATATCTGGTTCCTTCAGGGTTTTATGCTTTTGTTCATTCTTATCCTTGTCTCTGAAATAATTAGTTCCCTTATCCTTTCATTGCCATGTGCCTTGTAAATACCTAAGCCTTTTCCAAGAGAGTACACAGGTCATTACCTTTCCTTCTACCTCAGTACAGAAACTGATTCCTTTCTCTGAATTCTTCACAGCTCTTTAATTATAATATCTATAATACTAAAAAGTATACCTATTTATGTCCTCACTCTGGAATTGTGAAAGCCCCTGAGTGGAGACAGTATATATTCTTTTTTCTAAGCACATGGTAGCTAGCTAATAAATGTTTGATGAATATAGATGGATAAATGGACATTTGAATAATATGTGTAGTAGTCATTTAATAACTGTTTTTAAAAGCTTAAATTTGTTCAGTTCTTATTGTAGGCCAAGCACTGTGTTAAGATCTTAATAGACATTTTATCCTTACAAAAACCCTAAGAGGTGAGTATTATATCTGTTTTACAGATGGCCTGTTTAAGTTTCAAATTAATTTATAGCAATGATAAACAGAGCAAATATGAATTTCACCTTAGGTCCGATTTCTCCAAAGCCCCTGCTTTTAATAGCTCCCTTATATTTGCCTCAGACTTAAGCCTCAATAATGGCTATTTTCCTTATTCAAATAAAGCTTCAAAGGAATACAAAGGTCACATTTAGAACATTCAAATGAATATGCCATAGTTTCTCAAAGTGGACTTCCCAAATAAATTATAAATAAATAAGTTGCAAGATATCAAATTAATACTTTATTTTGATGTATTAGAGAGAGAATGGTAGACAGTATATTTGCATAAATTAATTACTGTGATTAATCTGGAATTTTATAAAGCTCTTCAAAAAATCTTTGCTCATAGAGTGCTTGAGGTGCTATGCCTTTTTGAACTTTAGTAATAAAATTGTATTAGACTGAATTCAAGAAAATGTTTTATATACTACAAATTGAAGAACAGCTATTTGGATTCTGAAAATTGTCAGAAGCATTTTTAATAATGTAAATTAGATTCAAACAGCTATAGCAAGAAGGCAAGCAAATTAAATTGCTTGCTTACCCACCAGAGATCACACTAAATATAGATAGGTTAGAATAATAAAGAAAGAAGGAACAAAATATTAATGCTGTCAATTATTTTACTTTTAAATAATGGGTACAACTTACAAACTAAGATTTTTCTTAATATAGACATGTTGTATGACTTCATGCAGATATTTAAGTATATTTTACAAGCTTGAAAATTAACACAATCTTGAAAGTTAAGAGTTTACATTTTTGAGAGATTTAATAACAAGATTAAATGTGCAACATTTTGACATCTAAAACAGTTAAACCTGTTTACCTAGAATATCAAGAAAGTTACAAGAATAATATTAGACAGTGGAAGTTGTAAGTTTAACAATGATGTTTTCACACTTGGAACATACACTTTGACATTACAACAAATCTATGATTGTGTTGGGTTCTCAAGATATTTGCTATAAGGAATAAAATGAATCTCAAAAATGCAGGGTAAAATTTCTTCAAGTTTTGTTTAATATTATTATTATTATTATTTATCTTTTAGGATTTTGAACTCTGGGATGATGTAGGATTAAACATTCCAAAACCTCCAGACTTACTGCAACTCTACCGAGATTTTGGAAATCATCAAGTCACTGGGAAAGATCTTGTGGATGTGGCCAGTGGTGTAGAAGAAGATGAATTAGAGGCTCTTACACCAGTTTTAGGCAGCCTTCCTACAAGCCTTGAAACTCCTCAGACTGTAGAGGTGAGCAGCATTAACTAGTCAAGTCCACAAAAAGTATTTAAATTGTGTAAAAGCATGCTACGAGATCTTGAGTTTCTGTTTTTCTCTTATTTTGATTTTAGAACTCCTTGCTAGTACAGAAATTAGAAGATAAAATTAGTTTATTAAATAGTGAGAAATGGTCTTTGATGGAGCAAATCAGAAGACTTGAAAGGTTAGTACTTAATCATCATTTCTTAAAAAAAACCTCTTAAAGTTTTTTTAAAAATTGACAGATTATATAAATATATAATATTTCAGTTGTAAGACATAATTTTTCATATTCTGATACTTCTAAAGAAAGCCTTATATTTGTTTTAAATATTTAATATGCTCTTTTCCCCAAAAAATGTTATTAAGTCATTGTAGTAATCATGTAATTGGTTCCCCATGGTTGTGTCAGCATTAATAAAATAACTTCTTCACACTAATGTTGTAAATATTTCCCACTGATTATTTCATTTAATTCTTATTATAATCCTGTGGGTTAGATAGAATTATTCCTATTTTGCAAATACAGAAAGGAAAGTTAAATGCCAATTCAAAACAGAGTTTATAAGGCCATTTTTATGCTTCATTGATAAAGAGTTTGTAGTTATACTTTTAGGTATATGAAGCATTCCTTTATAAAGTACAGAAAAGCTTAATCAGTTGCTGAACAATTTTCTGTCAATATGTTATACTTCTTAATGCATGAAACCTAGTATGAGGTTTATGCTATTTCCAAAGTTTTAAGAATATAGTTGTTCTCTGATAATTTCTCTTTCTTTCTACAGTGAAATGGACTTCCTCAAAAATGAACACTTTGCTATCCCAGTAGTTTGTGACTCTGTTCAACCTTCTTTGGATCATAAAGACTCTGAAGACAGTGGACAGAATCCAGTTATAAGTAGCTCAGACAAGCAAAAAGACAAAGATATCCATCTTTCAAAGTCAGATGAAGTTGATTCCACTATTCCTAAGGAGAATTTCCCAAATTCTGTCCCCAGGAGAGAAAAAGAAGAAATGCCATCTTCTTCTCCATCAAGTAAAAACACAGTCCATTTTGATAAACCTAATAGGTTAGTATGCAACGTATGTTTGGAAATGTATCTTTCAGTTATTTTAATACCTTGCGAAACTAGAAGAGCTTCATTTCTTGTTTTGCAGGTCAGATGTATGAATTTTTACATTTGGGATGAACTCAACACAAGATACATGTCTCAAAAACATCACAAAGTAATTGCTAAGTTCAGTTACATTAAAGAGGCTTAAAACATAAGTGGGGTATCTTCTATCTTAGCAGAGTACTTAAACCCACAAAATAATATGTATGTTCTATGTGCTATGAACTCATCCAGTGACTTTTTTTTTAAGATTTAATTATTTATTTGAGAGAGGGAAAGAGAGCATGCACGTGTATACAAGCGGGAGGGGCAGAGGAAGAGGAGCGAGAATATGAAGCAGACTCCCTGCTAAGCACAGAGCGAGTACAGGGCTCCATCTCACAATCCCGAAGTCACAACCTGATCCGAAACCAAGAGTCGACACTGAACCAGCTGAGCCACCCAGGCGCCCCTGTAGCCAGTGATTTTTACCTTTTCTCTGTTCAGTCATTAACAGACTCAGTAGAAGGTTTTGATACTGCATAGTTACCAGTGTAAACAGGGCAGTTATTTCTGCTCCTAGTCCTTTTTCCTGTGTCTGCTTCAATTACTAATACTATATCATTAGTCTTCTCTTAATTCATTTACTTAATTTTTATGGGTCTCAGTAATTGAAATCAGATGAGATAATGGTGGTTATCAAAATTACGTTATCTAAATTACGATCAGGTTTTCTAATGGAGGAGACAAAATATAATTTTAAAATATTTTAGGTTGTAATGTGAAAAAATCATTTTAGAAAGGAATATTTACTCTGCTCTTTTCTTATATTCTAAGCACAGTTCTAAATTCTTTCTGTATCCTAACTTATTTCATCTTCACAAATATCCTATGGTGCGATTCTGAGCCACAAGTCATGCTTCCTCCTCGTATTAAACAGACAGGTGGCACACCTAGTGTTGGGAGATTTTGGAAAGTACGTCTGATTTCTTTTAGATTTAGAGGTACTCACTATTGGTAAGAAGTTTTTTTTTTTTTAAACAAATCTTTCCACTGATGAACCACAACTTTTTGTATACCTACTAAGCCACATTTTTCTTTAGGTATTAGAGAGGTTACAAAGTTGAAGTACATATGACCCAGTCTTCAAGATGTATTTTTGCTAGTCTGGGTAAGATAGAGTAAAAAATCTATGTTACAATACTTAGCAATCATGGCATTTGTAGTAGTTCTTTAGTGTTTAGGAGTACCTCCGTATATCTCTTTTGATATACAAAGCCACTTTCTGGAGAAAGATGGTTATTAAATATGTTCAACTAATTTTTTAGCTCTTAACTATGTGCTAGGCAGTGTTAACAAGGAATATAATGGAAGGCAAAACATGTGGTAACAAACATAGTATGAGAGAGCCAACAATCAGACAATCTTAATAAAAGTATGAAAAATAGTAATATAAGAGAAGTTCAGCTTTCTTTAGGGACACACAGTCAGGACACCTAACCTAGTCATCAGAACAGGGAAGTTTTCAGGGAAGAAGTGTCTAACCTGAGGCCTGACAACTAAATAGAAGTTAACCAAATAAAGATGTAGGAGGAAGAGTGTTCTCATCAAGAAAGGATAGCATGGGGGGCGCCTGGGTGACTGAGTGGGTTAATCCTCTGCCTTTGGCTCAGGTCATGATCCCAGGGTCCTGGGATCGAGCCCTGCATTGGGCTCTCCGCTCAGCGGGAAGCCTGCTTCCTCCTCTCTCTGCCTGCCTCTCTGCCTACTTGTGATCTCTGTCAAATAAATAAATAAAATCTTTAAAAAAAGAAAAAAGAAAAGAAAGGATAGCATGGACTACGAGAATACCACACATTTTGGGGAACTAAGAAGAATTTAGTAAGCTTTAAGCAAAGACTAAGTCATATAAGCCATGTTAACTCATTTTAGAGAGCTGGGACATGATGGTATGTATCTAAGTTTTAGAAAGAGTCCTCTAAGGTAGAGGTGTTGGAGGGTAGCAAGATGAGAGGAAAGGAGACTAATAGGGCATCTCTTAGAAGAATCCGGGTAAGCAATGATTGAGGCCTGACTTGCGTTAGAAAGAAGTAAATAGAATGTTAGATAGTTAGAAGGTAAAAGCTTGATTGAATTTGGGGTTAAATGAAAGGGAAAGATAAAGGCTGATTTGTGGTTTCTGGGTTGGTTGATTAGATGGATCATGGCTGTTCCACTGAAAGAATATGGGAGAAGGAACATGGATGAGCAGATAGACTTAAGCTTTGGTACATTACTCTCTATGATCATAGAAATTACTGATCACTTTGTAGTGTGTATACTAAATGACCTCTGTTTTGTAACTTTTAGGGTTAGACCTTTTCTTTGTGGATTGAACACATACAGCACAACTTATTCATATTTTTATGAATACTACTACATAGAAACTAGTGTCGTTTTGGAGATACGAATGTTTTAAACTCATTTTTTAAACATTAAAAAGTTAATATTTTCAATTACAAAAAATACAATATACTGTGAAGGTTGACTGAGTCTCTGCTTCATTTATCTCTGATTTTTACCTCTTTATGTGGGCTTATAATATTAAGGTTTATCATTATCATTAGAGAGGTCTGCAAAACTAATTCCTGCCAGCACCTTTGTATCCACTGTTTACTTTTCTGGAACCAGAGAGAATCAGGGAGAAAAAAGTCCTCGTTTCAGATTTTGCAAATACTTTCTGTAATCATTGACCTGTTCTACATTTCAGGTTTGATCTGTTGACGTTTATGGCTGTTTGTTCATATAACATCAAACATTTTAAAAATCAGTTATTGCTAATTTTTTTCCCCTCTGTAATTCTCTAGGGAAGTATCCTCCAAGTCATTGTTGGTTGAAAAATCCAGTTAGCATTTGTGGGGCAGTATTAATGCAGGTTTTGGAGTTAAAACACGCGACTTACCTTCTCCTACATGCCAGGGGTAACTGTTTGGTATTGTCCCCTTTTCATCCAATTTTTCTTCTAGGAAATTGTCTCCTGCTTTCCACCAAGCTCTACTCTCTTTTTGTCGAATGTCAGCAGATAGTCGCTTAGGATCAGAGGTAAATTATATCATATATTCTTGGAACTGTCTTAAAATATTTGGTTTTTCTTCTCAGTATCTCATCCAAAAGCAGCTGTGATAAGACTCCATTTCAAATAAACATCTATTTTTTTAAATAATGCTCTAAGAAATAATTCCTTTCTTTTAAGAAAGGTAGTTGATCACTTCTGGCCTTTCAATTAAAGTTTGGTTTAGTATTAAAGTGACCTTTTGTAGTCTATTTTTAATTTGTTATGTCTGACATACGGTAATATGCCTCTTTTGGGTATAGTTTGGAAACCAGTATAAGTGTACATATTGTTTATATTTCAGTTATTTTTAGATCACTCCATTATTTCATTAGGCGTGGTTATCTTTTTTTTTTCCTAAGATTTTATTTATTTGAGAGAGGGAGAGCACAAGTGCAGTGGAGGGGCAGAGGGAGACCAAGAAGCAGACTCCCCACTGAGCAGGGAGCCCCACATTGCTAGACGACGCTAGACTGAATCCCAGGGCCTGAGATCATGAACTGGGTTGAAGACAGTCGCTTAACTGACTGAGCCACCTAGGTGCCCCAGCAGTGGTTATCTTTGATGGCTGAGTTTGTTAGCTCTCAGATTAGTTTTCCCCAAGTGCTTTGTAATTGTTGGAGGTTCATCTTGACGGGATATTTTTTTTTTCTATCTTTATACTCTTCTGCTTTTTAGTTGTTGTGTTGTGGTTGATTCCACTCGACCTCTTGTGGGCTTCAGTTTCACAATGTCATTGCTAATAGAAAAGAGCTAGAGGATGGTTTGGTTACATTTCTGGCAATCCTCACAGCAAGAATAGGTTGGCCTCCGGGGCCACCTCTTGTATGCAGCTTCACTCTACCAACTCTTGCCGTAGGCATAGATCCTAGCTTTGTAGGGCATCTTTTCAAGAATAAAAGAAAAACCGCTGAAGCTACGTCTATCCTATGTTATCTGTAGTTGTTCCCAGAACTGCAGCCTAGTAGGGCTCCTTGGATTCCCCCTTGCTTCTTCCTGGTGTTTTCAACCCATTTCATGCTTACAGAAGTGTTTATCCTATGTGGAACACAGTTCTTGTTCTTGTTGATGGGGTGTCCTTGTTATTACCATTACCATCAGCAGATGGAATTTTGGATGCATGCTAGGAGCAGAGGTAGCAGGGTCTAAAGCAGGTTCTAAACTTCAAGAACCATCATTCATGGAAGTTCTACACTGTCATCATTTATTAATTCTTTGGTTTTCTAGGTGTCTCGGATTGCAGACAGTGAGAAGAGCGTTATGTTAATGCTGGGGCGCTGCCTGCCACACATTGTTCCTAATGTGCTGTTAGCAAAGAGAGAGGTGAGACACATAGAAGTGTTTTCTTCCCAGTAATTCCATCATGTTGTCCATTTTCTGTCATTTTGAAGTTTAGTGTTATATTTTTATTTTGTTAAAGTCTATTACTTGCAATCATATTCTTACTTTTGTGCATGCATCTCTGCTCCTAGAAAATGGTTTTACACCTCTGTCAGGTGAGTTCAGTAAAACTGCATGGTATTCATGTTTTTCCAATTGTGCTTAAAGCATCATTAGCTTCTGCAACACTAACTATTACTGTAGGTCCATTTATGTGCCATGAATACTGTATGTTTTTTATATTACCAGTTAACTAATTTATTTTATCTCTACTTTTGATATGATATGCTTGATATTTATACAAAAATAGACCCTCTTCATATTGAAAATAACTGGGACTAATAATGTAACTTTTTTCCTAAATGTACTTGTAATGACCTTATAAATGTTAGTTTTATTATATTTGTTTGTCAATAATCACACTTGTCTTACAATGATAAGATAGTTATAGTATTGACAATAACTTTTGAAAGTACCTTCTTTTCCTTTTCTTGTAGTTAACTCTGTTACTGACAGATGCTTAAAATATCCAAAATACAGTAGCCAATATCTTTTAGTACAGATAGCCTCTGTTATGAGCCATAATGTAAGGAGTTATCTTTAGAGTTACATTTAGCCAAGAAAAGAGCAATAAAAAGTTATCCATAATCTAATTTAAATGATAGTGGATGATTTATTTGTAACCAAGTTTAATAATTTATTTGAACTATTCAATTTATAAACATGACTTCCAGTTAACAAAATATTTTTTATAAAAAATGGGTTAAGAATATTTTAGAATATATCCTATAAGTCTTCTGTTATCCTCTTAATATTTACCTGATTTCAATCATAATTCTTGGGACCTACAGTATGATAGGTACACAGTGCATTGGCAAAACCCATATAAAGCTTATCCTTAATTATCCGTTTAGCATAAGAAATTTGTACTGATCCTCAAGAAAACTTATATGTAGAAACTTACATGTAAAACTTATATTAAAAATGCTTATTCCTCTAGGTGTTTTGAATTGAAAAATTTAAAAGACTGTTTTCTTACTGGTGGTTTTATTTTACCTAATATATAAAAATAGTTGTGAGATATTCGTTAAGTGTGGAAGATTCCTGTATCTTGAAGGATCAGTGTCCAATTTCAGATTGTTTTGCAGTTCTGCCTGGCAGAATGGTGTTTGAGCTTCTTTTCCTTTTTTAGCTTGTAACATAATCCATGCAATGCATTAATGTTTGCATCCCTTTTACTATGTTTCCTTAAGATAATATTTAAAATAGCACAGAAACCTAATTGTTATGAGATGCAGTTTAAGCCTTATTTTAATTTTCCCTTTTTTTATCATAAAAGATTCTACCACTAAAATCTGATTGTACTGCATGAAATATTTATAAATTTGCATCATCAGTAATCAGATACACTATATATATAAATATATATGTAACCATATATATTTATACATATACACATTTTGTTTGTGGTATGATGTTTACTTTTATGGCTGGTTTAAATTTTTTGTATTTAAAAAATACGTACTTATAATTTCATGAAGGAAGTGATCGTTTATCTTTGTTGATTTAATTGTACATTATTTTATCAGAAAATTTACCATTTATAATATATCAAAGTTGTATTCTCTTGAAATTAAATTGATAAATAATGAAGTTTATCTTGGTTTGGTTTGAAACCAATCCCAGGGCATGAAAGGACAAAACTTCTATTTCATTTCATGCTTTGATATTAGATTACCTTTATTTAATATTTCACCTTAATTCCTTAAATACATATTTTTAAAAATGTCTTGTGATTAAAGGATTAAAATTTTGATTTTTTTCTTCTCAAGTTTTATATAATCTTTTATCAGGATAAGCCTTTTTATTAATATGTAAATATAATTAAAATGCCCTTCAGTAAACTGGTCATAATAATATCCTAGCTGGTTATATAAATAAATCATTAGAAACTTGATTTAAGGTTTTGGTTATGTAACACATTTACATGGTTAACTTCTTTTAAATATAAAAAGATAAACAACAAAAACTCTTCCCTTGTCTCTGAGCCACCATTCCACATGCAATAAATGTTACTAGTTTCTAGTATATTCTGTTAAGTCCTTTACCCATTTTTTAATTAGGTTGTTTGTCTTCGTTTTTGAGTTGTAAGAGTTCTTACAATTCTGAATATTAAGCCCTTATTTTATATATGATTTGCAAATATTTCCTTCCATTTGGTAAGTTGTCTTTTCACATTTTTTGATAATGTCCTTTGATGGACATTTAAATGTTTTTCTTTTGTTGCTTGTGTTTTTGGCGTCAAATCTAAGAATCTCTTGCCAAGTCTGAGGCCAAGAAGATTTATCCCCTATGCTTCTTTCTAATAGTTTTATAGCTTTAGCTCTTATATTTAGGTCATTGATCCATTTTGTATTTGTATATGGAATAAGGCACGGGTCCATTTTTATTCCTTTCATGTGATTGTCCAGTTGTCCCACCACTAGTTGTTGAAATGTTTTCCCATTGAATAGTCATGGCACCTTTGTCAAAAATTAGTTGTCAGCAGATATTTGGATTTCTTTCTAGACTGTTAGTCCTGTTCTGTTGGTCTTTATGTTTATCCCTACGCCTGTACCAACCACACTATTTTGATTACTGTAGCTTTCTACTAAGTTTTGAAATTGGAAAGTATGAATTCACTAAGTTTTTTTCCTTTTTCAATATTTACCTTTTCAAGGCCCCTTGCAATTCCTTAGGAATTTAATACTCCACTTTCATTCTGCAGTAAACATCATTGGAATTTTGAAAGGAATTGCCTTGAATTTTATAGATCACTTTAGGGAGTACTGCCATTCTTTTTTTTTTTTTTTAAGATTTTATTAATTTATTTGAGAGAGAGAGTGAGAGAGGAGAGGAGGGACAGAGGAAGAAGCAGACTGCTCGCTGAGCAGGGAGCCTGATGCGAGGCTCACTCCCCGGACTCTGGGATCATGACCTGACTGGGGATGAAGGCAGACACTTAACCAACTGAGCCACCCAGGCACCAAGGAGTACTGCCATTCAAATGGCAGTAATTCTTCTAATTCATGAACATGGGATTCTTTTCATTTATTTATGTCTTTAAATTTTTCCAGCAGTGTTTTATAGTTTTCTATGTGTAAGTCCTTCACTTCCTTTATTTTAGTTTTTTTAAAGGCTTATTTATTTATTTTAGAGAGAAAGAGGGTGCATGTGTGGGTGTGAGAGGGGCAAAGGGAGAGAATCTTTCAGGTAGTCTCCTTGCTAAGCACAAAGCCTAACACTGGCCTCCTTCCCTTGACCCATGAAATCACACCCTGAGCCCAAAGAGTCTGATGTTTAACCTACTGAGTCACCTAGGTGCTCCTTTCGTTACTTTTTTTTTTCTTCACTTCCTTGTTTTAATTTATTCTTAAGTATTTTTATTGTTTTGGATGGTATTGTAAATGGAATTTCCCCTTAATTTCCATTCAGATTGTTCATTGCTGGTTTATAGAAACAGAACTGATATTTGTGTGGTAATCTCTTACCTTGCAACTTTGTTGAATTAGTTTATTAGTTCTAGTAGTTCTTTTGTGGATTCTAATGTGATTTTCTTTATCTGGAGTGACATTATCTATAAATCTTCCTTTCCAATTTTAGATAGCTTTTATTACTTTCTCTTGCTTAATTTCTCTGGCTAGGACTTACAGTACAATGTTGAATAGCAGTGTTTTGAGAAAACAGATACTTTTTGTCTTGTTCCTGATTTTGTGGGGAAACCTTTCAGTTTTTCACCATTGAGTATGATACTGGGTATGGGCTTTTCATAAATGCCTTTTATCATATTAAGGAAGTTTTCTTCTATTCATAGTTTGCAGTGTTTTTATCATGAAAGGATGTTGAATTCTGTCAGATGATTTTTCTGCATCAATTGAGATGATAGTTATTTTCCCTTTGTTTTATTGATGTAGTATAATATGTTATTGATTTTTCATATATTGAACCAGCCTTGCATTCCTGGGATAAATCCCACTAGGTCTCAGTGTATAATCCTTCTCATGTATTGTTGGATTGGGTGTTAGTATTTTTTTGCACATTTTTGCATCTAAAAATTTCTGATATCTATTGGTCTATAGTTTTAACACTGAGAATTGCCTGGCCTAACATCTGCTCTATTCTTGAGAATGTTTCATATGCACTTGAAAAATAAATCTTTTGCTGTTGTCAGGGTGTTTTATATATGTCTATTAGATTTAATTATTTTATAGTGTTCAGGTCCTCTGCTTCCTTACTGATCTGTTTAGTTGCTTATCCATTATTGAAACTAGGGAATTGAAGTCTCCAAATACTGTAGCGCTGCATTGTATTTTTTCAGAAATATTTTGTGCATGTAAGCAAACTCAAATACATGATCTTTCTTCCATGATTTACACAAATGGTACTACACTTCTATGTACTATTCTTTACTTTGCTTTTTTTCCATTTAACATTATATTTTTGTATCACTCTATGTCAGTATATAAAGAACTTCCTTGTTCTTAAGGCTGCATAATACCTAGTCTCTTTATAGTCTTTTAAACATGTTTTAAATTAGTGTTTTTCAGACTTTATTGGCGACACTTAGTAAGACATTTTATGTCATGTGCCAGTATATAATACATATATATAATTAAAATGAAAGTTTGACAAACCAGTATTGCCTTTACTAATTATGAAAAGTTAAAATAGAAGACAATCAATATCAAACATAATTTTATAAATACTTTTAAACAATAATGCCTAAATAAACAATAAAAAAGAAAAGAATGCTCTTCACAATAAATGAAACAAGATGGGATCGAGATGGAGACAAACCATAAGAGACTCTTAATCTCACAAAACAAACTGAGGGTTGGGGGGCGGGGGTGGTAGAGAGAGGGTGGTGGGGTTATGGACATTGGGGAGGGTATGTGCTATGGTGA